ACTAATGTTGATAAGCCCAACGGCACTCATAAACTGACATGTCCATGTTGTAAAAGAGACCATTCTATATTTGATTGCCAAGAGTTCTTAGGTAAATCATTAGAACAGAAAAGAACATTTATTCAAGAGAGTAATTTGTGCTTTAATTGTCTGACATTTGGACATCGCGCTCGTTTCTGCAGGAAAAGGATAAACTGTAATATATGTAAAGGCAGGCACACAACGATTGTACATCAACCCGTTCTGAACTCGCAAGCTACTAATGGTTTTGTTAATCGCAATTCAAATTTTTGCGATAAGATAGCCTTACCTGTAATAGCTTTGAAAGTCAAGGCACAAGGAAAACCTGACATTATTGATGCCCTCGCGCTGTATGACACAGGATCAAATGGTACATTCTCTACTGACAGACTTGTGGACAAACTGAAGTTGAAGGGAACACCTACCAAATTATCATTAACAACACTAGATAAAGACAGGTATCAGGTGGACAGTAGAACGGTTGAAATGGAAATATTTGACTGACTACGAAATGAAGAATTTTGCCGAACTTTCAAAGGTGTATACACGACCCACTTTGCCTATATTGTCCCATGACATACCAAGTCAAGAAGAGATTGATAAATGGCCCCACTTGGATGGTGTTAGAATTTACGAATCACAGAATTTGTCTGAAGTAGATTTGCTAATTGGGTGCGATCATAGTTTTCTATTTGAACCGAAGGAAATCAGAGAGAGCGAAAATAGTGGACCTTATGCAGTCAAGACTATGTTGGGATGGGTTATAAATGGACCTATTGGTAAGACAATCAGTCAAGAGAAGTTATGTAATTTCATTAGATCTGATGCTCAACTTAACCAACAGTTCGAACAGTACTGCAATATGGAATTTAATGACTCGATCGATGAGACTAAAGTAGCAATGTCCCAGGAAGATAGTCGAGCCATGGTGATTTACGAGAAGTCAATTAACCTAGTCAATGGACATTACGAAGTTTCTCTTCCCCTACAAATAAACCCACCCTTATTACCTAACAGTCGACCAATGGCTGAACACAGGCTCTCTTTATTGAAGAAACGTTTCAAGAAGAACCCCGATTTGTTTGATCGATACGATGAAATTATCCAGAGACTTGTTAGTAAAGATTATGCCGAGCGAGTTTTAAATGATCAACTGTCAAGAAACGATGGTATGTTATGGTTCTTACCCCACCACCCCTGTATTTCATGTGAAAAAGCCAGGAGTACCCAGGGTAGTGTTTGACTGTTCTTCCAAGTACCGTGGAATTTGTTTAAATGATACTCTTCTAAGAGGCCCAGACATGACGTGTACATTGATTGGCGTTTTAATCCGTTTCCGACAAGAATTGTTTGCAGTGATGGGGGATGTCGAAGCAATGTTCCATCAAGTTGGTGTTATTCAATGTCAAAGAGACCTACTACGATTTCTATGGTGGCCGGAAAGGGATATAGACGTCGATCCTTCGGAGTATCGCATGAGAGTACATTTATTCGGGGCTACTTCTTCTCCGAGCTTTTGCAACTACGCACTTCGTAAAACTGCAGAAGATCATCAAGAAGATTATGATGATGAAGTCATTCAGACGGTTCGGAAGAATTTCTATGTAGACGATTGTTTAAAGTCCGTGAAATCTGAATCTCAAGCTATACGTCTCATTCAAGATTTAAATGAACTTCTTACTATGGGTGGATTTCATTTAACTAAATGGTTATCGAATTCGCGAAAGGTGATAGAATCAGTACCTGAAGCGGAAAGAGCTGCTACACTAAAGTATCTGGATTTTGATGAACTGCCAATAGAGCGAGCATTGGGAATTCTATGGGACATCGAAGTAGACTGCTTTACCTTTCAAGTTAACATTAAGGAAAGGGAAAAAAGTCGTCGTGGGATTCTTTCAGTTTTGTCGTCGGTGTATGACCCATTGGGTTTCGTCGCTCCTTTTATATTAAACGCCAAGATTATCCTCCAAAAACTGTGTAAAATGAAATTAGGATGGGATGATGTTGTACCGGAAGAGTATATTAAGTCGTGGAATAATTGGATGGAAGAACTCTATGTTGTCACGCTTAGAAATTCAACGCTGCTTTAAACCTCCGGGATTTGGTGACGTTAAATCCTCACAACTTCATTGTTTTTCGGACGCATCATTATCAGGATATGGGGCTGTATGCTTTTTACGTTTGGTAGATAAGTCAGGAAGAATACATACAATATTTATCGCTGGGAAATCTAGAGTCGCTGAAGATAATGACTGCGGCAACGGTTTCTACCAGACTAAACCAGATCATCAAAAGAGAACTTGAGATCAACGTGGATCAAACGTATTTTTGGACAGATAGTACCTCTATTCTCAAGTATACCCATAATGAGGATAAGAGATTCAACATTTTCGTGGCCAATAGGATCGCGACAATACTTGACGGATCAACACGGTCTCAGTGGTTATACGTGGATTCCGAACTTAATCCCGCGGACGAAGCCTCCAGGTGAGTTTCGGCTAAGTCTCTTCACAAAGACGTGAGGTGGTTAACGGGGCCGGAATTTTTATGGGGACCACAGAGTGAATGACCAGATCAGCCTGAAGATTTTCGGTTAGAAATTGAAGACCCGGAAGTTAAGGTTCCTAAGACTTCTCTGATTGTAACAAACAACGTAACTTTCATGGATACTTTGATAAGGAGATTCTCTTACGAATTCAAAGGATAAAGGTATAAGTAAATCAAGTCCGATTTTCAAGTTAAGTCCGATTATGGTAGATGGATTAATAAGAGAAGATGTAAAGGTTCATTAGACGTTAAGCATCAAATTATACTACCGAAGAAAAATCATTTAATGGATTTGATTATTCAACATTACCATGAAGGATGCGCGCACTCCGGAAGAGAATATTGTCTTTCTTTGATCCGAAGAAGATACTGGCCGATTAACGGTAACTCAGCAGTGAAGTCAGTTTTGGGAGCATGTATTAAATGTCGAAGACGAAACGCCCCAATTTGTGAGCAGAAGATGGCTGACCTTCCTGAAGAACGCGTTACAGATAATGGAGGTAACTTCGTTTCTGCTAATAACGAGATTCAGCAGTCCATAAAAGAATGGAACAAGAATCAAGTTGATAAATTTATGATTCAGAAGGAGATAGAATGGTCGTATAATCCCCCAGCCGGTTCCCACTTTGGGGGGATTTGGGAACGGTGTATTCGTCACGTGCGCAAAATCCTAAGTTTCCTATTAACAGAACAGACACTTTGTGATGAAAGTTTATTGACTATGTTCTGCGAAGTTGAAATGATAATCAACGGACGCCCAATTACAAGAGTATCTGACGATCCCCAAGATTTAGAAGCTCTGACTCCTAATCACTTACTACTGCTAAGGCCAGGAAATCAATATCCCCCTGGTATCTTTTGTGTTAAGGACTCATATGTTAAGTGTAGATGGAGACACGTGCAGTATCTCGCGAATGTATTCTGGCGACGTTGGATTCGTGAATACCTACCTTTGTTGCAGTCGCGCCAGAAGTGGAACCAAGATCGTAAAAATCTCAATGTTGACGACGTCGTTCTGATGATAGATAAGGACCAACCTCGTGGATCGTGGCCTTTAGCATGGTCACTGCTCTTTTCAAATATAGAAATAATTTTCTGGCACATTCATATTTACTTGCCTTGAAAGGTGATCAAAGACGAACGGTACAAAAATCTACTAAATGATGGGTGGGGGATATTTAACGTAAAAATTCGGGTCTTAATACGAAATTCCAGATATCATGTTACATATCACCGAAAAGCACATTCATGTTTAATTTCAAATATATAAATAATTTTCTGGCACATTTATATTTACTTGCCTTGAGAGGTGATCAAAGACAAACGGTACAAAAATCTATTAAATGATTGGGGGGGGGGGGGTATTTAAAGTAAAAATACGGGTCTTAATACGAAATTCCTGATATCATGTTACATATCACCGAAAAGCACATTCATTTCTCTTTTCAAATATATGAATAATTTTCTGGCACATTTATATTTACTTACCTTGATAGATGATCAAAGTCGACTGAAACAAAACTCTATTGAATGGTGGGGATGGGGTATTTAAAGTAAAAATACGGGTCTTAATACGAAATTCCAGATATCATGTTACATATCACTGAAAAGCAAATTCATTTCTCCTTTCAAATATATAAATTATTTTCTGGCACATTTATATTTACTTACCTTGACAAACTATCAAAGTTGGATAATACTGAACTCTATTAAGTAATTACGTGTGTGTGTGTGTGTGGGGGGGGGGGGTATTCAATGTCTAATTACGGGTGTTAATACGAAATTCCGGATATCATGCTACACATATCAGTAGTAGAAAGCACGTTCACTACTCTTTTCAAATATATAAATAATTTTCTGGTACATTTATATTTACTTGCCTTGACGTGTGTGTGTGTGTGTGGGGGGGGGGGGTATTTGAAATTAAAATGCGGGGCTTAATCTAAAATTCCGTAGATCTATACTGAAAAGTAAAGTTGATCCTCTCTTGAAATGTATTTATTATATTTTCGGCGGAATGCATATATACTTTTTAAATTAAAATTGATACAAGTTTGGTAGGCCTAGCCTTCACTGGCTGAATTAAAGATAGTGGTGGGCTGGATCGAGTGTTTAATGTCAAAATACGTGTCTTAATACGAAATTCCAGTTATTGTGTCATATATCACTGGAAAGTGGGTTTCTATTGCTCTTTAAATCTACTTGTTATTTTCTGGCACATTCATGATTACATACTTTAGAAGAGATAAAAGCATTTTTATTTTGAGCAAAGAAATGGGTTACTAAAAATAGACTACTTTCAATTCATTTTATTTATCGAAGGCTCGGATTAGCCCATACCGAGCACGTGATTTCACTGAAGTCATGGTCATCCAGCGAATTTTTAAGTGACGGCCAGCTTGATTGGCTTGATTCGCAGTTAGTGACGGGTGAGTATTCTTAGTGAAGGATGAGAAAGTGACGGCTGACTTGATCTCGGCGATTGTATTTGGGAGAATGACATTTAACTTTTATTCTCCTTTACCGTTCGGTTACAAATAATTTCTTGTAAGTATGTAAGAATTGTTTTCAACTAAGTGAAGTAAGTCATACAATATATAATTTTAGATATTCGTGTAACAGACAGTCACAGTGGTGTGTAAAAATAGGGGAGTGTGCGCCCGCCCTTGTTTAGTTTATAGTAAATTATAGTTATAGTTAACTTATTGAATTGTTCTGCTGTGGGATTGAAGTTAGCTACGAGAACATAGCTAAAAACGTTGAGATACCGACGTCCTTGTTTTTAGCTACGATTGGGTGTCTTTAGTTCCAAGTGACAAACACAATTTCTTTATTAATGCATGTAACATCTTAAAAATAAGATGATTTTATACTATTAGATTAGTGAAAATGCCCAAAGTCCCACTTCGTTATGTCCGCTTAATATTAATATTAAACAACTATAACAACAATACCTTGAAAATTCTCTATAAATTCTGTCTGTTTGTGTGCTTAATCTGTGTGTGAGTTAGTTGTATTTTACGTCAGCTTCCACCGAGGCGATATCGCAGACTGAATCTTAGTTAGTTGTTAGTTGTGTTTTACGTCCGCTTCCACCGAGGTGATATCGCAGACTGAATCTGGTCGACACTGCTTTATATAGGATCTGGCGTAGTGATCAGCTCAGGAAATAGTTCCCGTCCTCAGGTCCGACCAGTCATTACCCACAATAGTCCTCCCTGTTTTCTTTCGGGAGGCTAGCCTCTCCTCCTGGGGCTACAGAAAAACTGAAAACATAATTTTAAATTACTCACACACACCAACAGTATCTTATATACTCGTAATATTCACCCAAACACGTCCTTTCATACAACCTAAACATATACATTTATATACTAAATAACCCCTCCCAACTTAGGACAAAGTTATTTCCTCAATTTCCCCTTCCCAATCTTCGCCCCCATCCCTAATCAAAAGCAAATCACTTTGACCTACAGACGCTGCCCTTAAAAATCTCACAAAATGGGAAGGTGTCAAGAAATTAAGCATCGTACACAAACATCTCCAATACGTTAAACAAGCTGGGGAATTAATAGGAAGAAGGATAAATCTATCTCCCTCGGGGATTCTCCAGCTCGCTCACACATATCCCTCAGTGTTGAGGTTTGTGAACCGACAGCCGTTGGGCAAATACCCACCCCTATTAAAGTTCCTGACCATTGTGAATGGGGTTTCTGACAAAATTCGACATAAAGCCGACAGCGCCTCAATTCTTTTATCTAACATTTCTGGTGCACAGTCCCGTCCCACTCCCCACTGAAATACAGAGGCAAATGCCACCTTAACACAGGTAATTTTATTTTTCGGTCTCGGTCAGGACATCCATTTATCGCCTATTTTTGTTCCTGCCCCTGTCGTCTAGTTCACGGGTATTCATGGTATAACCGGGTAGGAACCCATGAAAGCGGTGCCTCCAGACGCGGGGGTTCTTCATAATAAACAGGAGCCACTGACTGTCCCCTGCTTGTACGTGTCCAGTTAGATTGGGCATTTAAACCGGCCTGAGCCTGCTGTACCCACAGCGCATATGCGACATCAGCTGGTGGTTCATTGAAGAACCTTGCGGGCGTTCTCCACAATAAATTCATACTGTAAAAGAAAAGCATACCCTGCCAATACTGTATACGTCGGTAGGCTGTATTGTTATTAGCTGTACTCCCTAACCCCCTTTTTTTGACCCACCAAAATTACCTGGGCCAGAATCCTAATTGTAATTAGGACACACATAGTCCTTATCTTCCCAGTCATCGTCAGGTTCTATTCCAACACAACGGTAGTGATACCACTCATCACACTGATCGCAACAAATCATGGGACTGCCATCGTCGGGACCCTTACATATGCAATACATTTCAATATTCCCCGTCGGACTCGGGGATGTAGAATCAGGCTTATTTTTAACCATCATGATCCATGCGGGCAACTCCTGATCTAGACATAATTTTAATCGATCATGATTCATGACACTCTCCTTTTTACTAGTTTTTATCTTAAAAAAATATGGAGTAATTACTTGGGTTATAATACCCGGACCTTTCCAAGCCAATGACAGCTTGTGTTTTTTACCTTTCTTTACCACGGTATCCAAAATATACACTACATCACCCAACATACATTCATTAACCTTTGCATGCAGGTCAAAATCTCTCTTCATATGTTCTTGGCTCACGTTTGAATTCTTTCGGGCCATTTCGCGAACCTGAGTAAATTATATAATTTAAAGTAGCTAAGTCCGTAACTCAATATCATCCAAAATCTTCGACACTGGAAACACAAATTTTTTTGCAATTTAAATCAGCATTGGTGTTGTGATCTTACCTGGAAAAGATGGGCTTATGATATCCATAATGCGTTTCAGCGCCATTTGTAACAAGGTGCTCAAAGAATGAGGCTAGACATATTCCACAAGTCATGTCAAACGGTGATATCATGTTCTTATTTGGAGAACATGCGCAATAAATAATATCTGTGTTGACTGGAATAACCAGACGCTAGAAACTGACTTGAGGTTGAGACTTCTGGCGTATTTCGTCGAACATAACTGATGACAATTCACAGTAAAACGGACACGATTGAATGTAAAACAGTTTATATAAATTCATATTACATTATTATATGTGTTGCGACCCATTTGTGCCAATTTCTAGGTCCAAAATATTAGCGATTTAGCTCCTTTAAGATTGACTACTCTTGAATAGGTTGAACTGCGTTACAAAGCCTGAATCCCATTTTAGTAAATTGAAATAAACCGTACTTAGTTAAGAATGCGTTTTTATACGCCTACATGGAAATGTGGTAGTATATGGCCGTCGCGGCCGTCCGTCGGTCCATCCGTCGTCCGCAATTTCTTGTTGACACTCTACAGACTACATTTATCATCTGATTTTTTTTAAATTGATATATGTTGTTTGCATTAGTGAGATGAAGAAGCCTGTTTAATTTCTTCTGGAGTTATGGCCCTTGTTTCACTTTGTTGTACCTTGTGAATGCTCGAACGACAAAAGTTATCATTAAATCTGTATGAAATTAAAATGTACAAAAGTTATTATCCGATCTGTATGAAATTTATATGTATTGTTTAAATTAGTAAAATGAACAAGCCTATTGAGTTTCAGAAAATTTCTGTTAATTACCTCTAGAGTTAAGCCCTTGTTTCACTTTGTTGAAACTTGTGAACGCTTGAACAACAAAAGTTATCACTAAATCTGTATGAAATTCATATGCATCATTTAAATTAGTGAAATAAAGAAGCCTATTGAATGTCAGCAATTTCCATCAATTACTTCTAGAGTTATGGCCCTTGTTTTACTTTGTTGAACCTTGTGAACGTTAGAACAACAAAAGTTATCATCCGACCTGTATGAAATTTACATGCATTATTTGAATTAGAAAAACGAAAAAGCCTATCGAATTTCAAAAATTTCTGTAGATTACTTCCAGAGTTACGGCCCTTGTTTTAGTTTTTAGAACCTTGTGAACCCTCAAACGACGAAAATTATAATGTCATCTGTATGGAATTGTCTATTAAATTCTCCCTAATTACCTACAAAAGAATAAATATGCGACAACCCTTGTCGACCACTAAGACGATTTAGCTGCTGTGAGTGTATGTTTTGTTGCCTGGCAACCTATCTTTTTTCCTATCTTACTTTTTAAGTAGAATTTGCCAGTATGCCGAATTAGCATCCAGTTTTCTGTAATCAATACACCAACGCACTGTTCCGTCTTTTTTGCGGATTAAAACGGGAGGTGGCGCCCATGCTGAGCTTGACGGCTGAATAACTTTAGAGTCTAACATCTTTTTTAAATGTGCTTCCTCCCCTACGAAAAAAATAGGAACTCTGTGTAAGTTTTGTTTAATGAGTTTTGAATCTTTGGTTTCTATAGTGTGCTCCAGAAAGGTAAAATTCCCCAAATCAAATTGATCTTTGGCAAATACGCCTTGGTATTCAACAAGTAACTTAGACAATTTAAATTGGTCAACTGGAGCTAACAGTCCTTTTGATCTGTCATATAAATCTATTAAATGCTCTGGAATTTTAAGTGAACCAACGTTACTATCATTCACTACATCCATCTCTAACATTTCAAAACGTCATTTACATTAAATTTTACTGCCTTGCCAACAGCTTGATTAGTCTCTAATACAATCATTTCTTGTGACGGGTTGATTAAACATATGCTAGGAAATTCCGTTTCGACGTGAGAATGAGCAGGTTGAGCTACATGTATCAACAAATTAGGATGATTTATGGGTTCTATAATATATCGCGATAGGCTTTTATTTAAAGTATGTCGCACACACGCTACAGTTAACGGTGGTATAAGGGTTCGTTTCACAACAGCATCATCAGCGTGTTTGTTACATTCATCGTTTTCGCTATATATCAAGTCAAAAACATCTTGCCAATTTGTAACTTGTCCGTTAGCATATCAATTCGGACTTTATTTGTGCGCATAAAATCTAATCCTAGCAACATGTCGTCTTCAATTGGAGCGACATACAAATGATCTAGTTCCATTTGGAAAGATCCAAGATCTACTACAGCGGGACCAACGATAAAACCTTGAAAATCCATTTCGCGGCTAGCAGTATACAACTTAACATCGATAATTTTTGGCGTTTTTTTCTTAAAGATACATTATGGGAGATTTTAATAGAGAGTTGACCATTCTTGCTATAACAGTTCAAAAATAGATGATGAAAGAAGAATATATTGAAAATTTCAGTCAAATTACTTTATTCTGAATAAAGTTATCACCATTGTAATTTTTGACTAGAAATAGGAGTCAACTCTCTCTTCACCGTCTCCGAGAATGGCCGATTGTTTGATTGACAGGCGTTAACTCCACCTACATAATCTCGATTATCAAGTAACGTTTTCAATGGCTGTGGTACCGTTAGCATATTCGGTTTGAGACGGGGTTGCAATTCAGTTCGTATCACATTTATTTTTACTACAAATTAAAAATAAGACTTTTAAGATAAGAAGCGAAAGTTTGAAAGG